TTGAGGACTTCATCGAGTCATTCAACCCGACCTCCTAATCTCATTCCTCCTCTACTTAATAGTCTTATAGGATACTGTTTTAATATGCCTGAACGTCGTAGAGAAAAATTGTACTCTAGGTACATAAATTCTTTCCAATCCTATAGAATCCGAGAAGAGCGTATTCCTTCTCTTCAAGCCATGATAGATATTGACTTCGAATACCTTCCGATTCTTAAAACTTGGAAGTTTGATAAAATGTTTCACCTCAAACCTATCATCTATCATCAGTTAGTTCGTATTTTCTACTCCAATGCGGTATGCATTCAAAACGAAACTAAATGTGGGACTATAGCAATTAGATCCTATCTTTTAGGCCAATATATTAATATTGACCCTGAGACTATAGCTTTTTGTTTTGGGCTAGATGATAATGGGTTATATAATGAGAATGAAACTGTGGAATATCCCTATGTTCCAAACTCTAGTGTTAGTACTCTACGATCTCATCACGATCGTTTTCTTCATTTGATGATCTCTTGGTGGTTTAGACCATCCGGAGGTAGGTACTCCACTCTTCGTACTAGGGATTTATGGTGGATGCACTGTATCAAGAATAAGAACAAAATAAATCTGCCCCACATTATATTTAGTCAACTAGTGGATATCATAAACATTGTTCCTTCAAAACATGTCGAAACATTAATTTATGAATGTCTTCTTAGTAACCTTTTTATCAAACTCGGTCTAAACGTCTCTCACGACAATCTCATCCCTCTCTAAAATCAAATCAATCTCACTTCGTTGAAGAAAGCGGATTGGAAACAAGACGAGGAAACCGGTCTTTGGGTCTTTTGACCCGGTAAGCAAACTCCGGGAGCGAGTTCTTCACGATCTGCTCCTAGCTCTTCTCGTGCTCCTCCTCCTCTTCCGGCTCCGGCTCCGGCTGCTGACGATGATCCCGAGTTTCAACAACTTATGCAAGATATCGACGATCACGTACCAGACGATGAGCCTGCACCGGAACCAGCACAGCAAGAAGATCAAATGCCACCATATTTTCGATCTTTCTTAGAGTCGTTTGATCTGAGGTTTGCCTCAATGGAGTCTCAGATTACTGAGTTTCAGTGGGAGATGCGTGAACGTATTGACGCTCTCACTCTTGAAGTTTGAGCTCATTATCCTTCTCCTCCCGATCCTCCGATGGAGTAAATTTGTTTCCTTGTTATGTTTTCTTGATTTTTAAAACTTGGATTGATTTTGATGTTTCTGGGTTGTTTGTTTTGGATTGTTAAATGTTTGAATTTGTTATGGTTTGGATGATTGGATTTTGAACTTAATATATATATATATATATATTTGGTTTGGTTGAATTTTCTTATTTTTGCATCATTAGACATATATGACCAATAATGTCATTTCACATTTGTTTATGAATATTGATTATGGAACTAATGGCTAATCTCTCTTTTGATTGTGATCTTAGCAGCTTAAGCTATATTTACTTATAATCAATTGGCTATGCTTTTCAAAACCTTGTTTAAAACGTTTTAGAGTCTTTTTGATTTAACAAAAAGGGTGAGTAGTGTAAAAGTGTTAAAGGGGAGAAGTGTTAGAGTAAAGGGGAGTAAATTTTCAAACTTGATTTCAAAACTTAATTTTCAAAGAAAATCTTAAAATTACACAAATGTTTTGTTATATCAAAAAGGGGGAGATTGTTGAAAACATTTTTGATGTTTAGATATAACAAATTAAGTTAAATGAATTTTAAGATTTTACAAATGATTTTCTTAGTATATTCGATTTAATTACTCAAATATCAAAATATTACTCCAAGTATTTCAAGATCAAATTCAAACCTTACTAAATGTGTACAATTGTGTTTTATACTCAATATATATTTTTGAAACAATTTTCGCAAAGTATTTTGAACCAAAATCAAGCCTAAAATCAATTTTTCAAAGTGATGCATCGATGCACCATTCCATGCATCGATGCACCATGGATTAAATTGAACATCGAATGTATTTTATGCATCGATGCACATACCATGAATCGATGCACTCTAGCCTTTTTGAAACATCGAATGCATTTTATGCATCGATGTACTCTTAGTGCACTGATGCACTAAGGATCCAACGGTCAAAATATTTGAATTTTACACTTGATGCACCGATGCACCATGGGTATGCATCGATGCACTGACGCTCCCAACTGAATTTATTAATTGTTTTCACACTTAAACGACTCTATTGACTCCACTAATCATCCCCAACGTTCAGAATCAATTGAAGGAGTATTTAAACAAGTTCTGAAGCCATTGATCAATAACAATTAAGAAGAAATCATAGAGAAACAAGAGAGAAAGCATCAAACATCAAGTTTGTGCAATTCAAGCCAAATTTTCTTTCAATATTCATTTTGCTTTCAAGAACATAATTTGTGCTCATTTGTAATCATCTTTGAGTGTTCTTATCTTGTTCTAGAATTGTGCAAACATATTGCCTTGTGAGGTTTTTCTTGTAAGTTTGCAAATTTGTGTATTTCTCTTTGAAAAAGAGTGTGCTCAAGAATTAAGGTATAATTCTTGAGGGAATTGTAAGGTTACTCTTTGTCCTCAAAAGAAAGAATAAATTAGTGAATTTGTTGGAAAATCCTTAGTGTGGATAGCTAAGGTAGTGGACGTAGACTTTGGTTGAGAAAGTCGAACCACTCTAAATCGCTGTGCAAATCTTTTCAATTTTCTGCAAAAACTTCCACCAAGATTTTAATTGCCAATTCACCCTCCTCTTGGCCGATTCCATCAATCGATTAACTCAACAATCATGTTCGCCGAGCACCGTTGAGCACTACTGATGATAAGCATTATTAATTTAATTGATAAAAAAATAAAATTTTAAAGTACTCAACTTATAATTATAAATTAATTAAAAATCTAAAGGTAAATTATTTAAAGTAAAATATTAATTACATTATTTTCCATATCTTTTTTGGGTAAATTATATCACTGACCACCTAACTATATTCACTTTTCATTTGGAACATCATTTTTGAAATTTTGTTAATCAGGTCATCCAAATGGATTCAGTCAACCACTTGCTGTTAATATTTAACGGAAGTGTTGACGTGACAGTTAATAAAATTAGTATAATTATATATTTGATCTTCAATATAAATTATATTAATTAGGTCATAATTTTAATCCAAATTAATAAATTTAATATCCAAATAGGTAGTGACACATGTCACTACCATATTGGAGGATATTTTATTAAAATTATAACTAAATTGATACAATTTAATATTTTTAAAAAATAAAAATGTTTTAAATTAATATGATGATACTGATACATTTTATCTATAAAAATCATTTAACTTCTTTCCCTTGAAAAGAAATTTTATTTCCTTCATAATCATTTAATTTCTCCCTTAAAGTCCTGTGAGGTTAAAGCTAGTTGTTTTTTTCTAAGGTAGTTTGTTTCAAGTATGATATCCGCATAAATATATGAATATATATTGGATGAGGCTATTATGTTCGATGAGCATCACTGACGATGAGCACTATTAATTTAATTGATAAAAATTTAAATTTCTAAACAACTCATCGTATAATTATAAGTTAGTTTACAATTTAAAGATAAATTATTCAAAATAAAATATTAATTACATTATTTTGATCATGAAATGTTATTAAATTACAAAAGTTTCATGGTCTCCTACCTAATAAATACCAAATACCTTCGAAGAATATCTAGATCCTCTAGTGTGTTCCTTATGTGACATGCAAATGTTTTACATGTTTTAAAACGTAATTTTCTTAAATTACAGATTTACTGATGTTTTGATTCAATGTTAAATTAACTATGGTTACATGATATGTGTTCTCTGATTACTTGTTTTGACTGGAAAATATAAATGTTCTTAAATTATGGATCATGAGATCTATTGGTTACTACTTAAACTATTTTACTGGGACATCTTGGTAGATACTGAAGTATGGAGGTTCAACTCGGTCAAATTGGTATTTCCTTATATAGGTTCAGACGGATCGAACTGGTAATTCCTTACGAACCTAAGGTGACCCTTGAGTAGGCTTCGAGACCCCGAAAAACTTTCTTGGGTAGGCTCTCAGGCCCCAAGGCACTCCCTTGGGTAAATTATGAGACTGCATATGATGTACGGGTAAATGGCAATTATGTGATTTATTTTATTGTCACTCTTACGAGATTTTACTGGATCGCGATCCTGATATTACAGTTTACTGTTAAATCTTTTCATATCTTTTTTGGGACCACTGACCACCCAACTATTGTCCATTTTCATTTTGAACACCATTTTGAAATTTTGCTAATCAGGTCATCCAAATATTTAAATGCATTCAATCAAGCCACTTGTCGTTAACATTTAACGGAGGTGTTGACGTGACAGTTAATAAAATTAATATAATTACATATTTGATCCTCAATATTTATAAATTCTATCAATTTGGTCATAATTTTAATTCAATTTAGTCATAATTTTAATTCAATTTAATAAATTTAATATCCAATTAGGTAGTGACACATATAACTACCATATTGGAGAATATTTTATTAAAATTATGACCAAATTGATATAATTTAATCTTTTTAAAGAATAAAAATATTTTAAATTAATATAATGATACTAACACATTTTATCTATAAAAATCATTTAACTTCTTTCCCTTCGAAACAAATTTTATGTCCCTTCAAAATCATTTAATTTTTCTCTTGAAGTCCTTTGAGGTTAAAGCAATAATTGTCATCTTTTAAGATTTCGGTTTAAACATAATACTAAAAAAAATATATAAATATTTATTATCAAATAATTAAAATTTTAAATAAATATTATTTTATAATTACTCCAAATTATTAAATAAAACTCCTTAGCATTTAATCAAATCCAATTTTTAAATAATATTTTAATAAACTAGAGTATCATTACTCGACTTCTTTTTCTCTTAAAAGTCGAAACATATGAAATGCAAAACCTATCCACACTTCACAATCTCTGATCTCTGTTATACACTTAATATAATCAACAGTGGCTCCAAAGAGGTATGAAATCATCGGCGGCATCGTATTCGTGTTCATCCCCATTATGCCCACAACGAGGTGGTGACATCATCATCCCCGCCGCCATGTTTGCCAGAAAGCTTTGTGTCCCAAAAACCTCCTCCTCGTCCAAATAATACCCATTCTCCCACACTCTCATTTCCTCCCCCTCTTTCTTTTCGTTTCCCTTTGCATTATCACCGGAGTTCTCATCCCAATGCTCAATCGGTCGAAATGCCTCCGCCGCCTCTGCCGCCGCCTTCTGGATAACCTTTGGATCAGTAGAAGCCGGAACCGGAAGCCTCAAAGCTGAGTCCGCGAAGTTCAGGCAAGCCGACCTTCCTCTCAGAGCTATGGCAGCCACGTCGTGGGCACGCGCAGCCATCTCCGCCGTTGGAAAAGTACCCAGCCAAATCCTCGACTTCTTATTAGGCTCCCTCACTTCACAAACCCACTTCTCGGAGTTCTTCCGGCGGACACCGCGATACACCGGATGCCGAGTCTCGCGGAATTTTTTCCGCCCCGCTCGCTTCTTCGGGCAACTGGAAGCTAACATCACATCTTCATCGGAAAAATGAACCAGTCGAGTAGTTCCACTCCCGGAATCCGATAACGGCGATGAAACCGACCCAGAATCGATCACGTCGTAATCTAGAGCAAAAAGATCCATTTGTAGCAATGGAGAAGTGAGTGAAGTTACAGTGAGTTGAGTAAAAGCCAAAGGGAAGCTTTTTAAGGAATGGATACGATGAGTTGGGTTTATATACCATTGTTTGGAAATTCAGGGATTAAAAAGAATGGAGGCCAACACGGAAAGGTGAAGAGGATCCAGGCTGTTTGGTTTGTGGGGTCATTGAGGACTAGGTTTTGATGCCAGCTGTATTAGTTTTGGATTAAGCACAACATGACACGTGGGATCTGTCAAAGTCCAAAGGCAAATGATGTTTGATTTTCTGCGAACCATTGGAGACTCTGTAAACCTTTGATCTCTTCAGACAATCCATTGCCCTTTACACTGTTTATTGATAATATATACGTGCATATTGTTCAAATTTATAATCTTCACAAAATAAATAAATTAAAATTAATAAATTAATTTTATATCTTTTAATAGAGAACTACCTATTTTCATTTTATATTATTTTAATATTTAAATATCATTGTGTATATTTGGGTAATATTTTAATAGTTACTATATTTTTATTAATATTGTGTTTATTCTATAAAAAAAATATTGTGTTTATGACTGTTTAAATGTTCTATGGTGGAGTTGCATGATACTTGGGAGTGATCAGTGAATAGTTTAAAAGTTAATTTTATTTTTTAATTTGTAAAATATTTTTCATCTTTCAAAACAAATGATCAAGTAGCTTAAATTTACGATATAAGGTTTTAATTATTATTTTAGTACTCTTTAGATATATATTATTATTTACTATAATTTATTTGATAAAATATCATAAACAATAAATAAAAAATATGTTAAATGCTTAACATTTTATCATTTAAAAAATTACAAATATAAAGTTTTTTTTAAAAAAAAATTACTTACTATATTAAATATAAAATTTAGATAATGTAAAATTAACTTCTAAATAATCTTATACAGTCTGAATCAAATATTATAATCAAATGAAGTATATAAAGAAATGTAATATTCTTAATAATATCCATTAATTTTTTATTAAATTTAAAAAACTGAACGTATAGGATGAAAAACATTTTATCCTTGATAATTGATAATCGGAACTTTGCAGTGTAGACTATGTCAATCAAGTGGCAGATACAATTTGTGGGGGGAATGTCAAAGCTTCCCCAAAAAGAGGTATTTGAATTGGCCTCATGTTTTGGAATTAGGCTAATAATTTTGCTTATATGTAGACCACGTGTCGTTCACCAAAATTTAAGAATAAAAAGCATCGGCGGCTAAGGCGCTGAGTTTCACGGAAAGTCAAGTGAAGAGTATGGAGAAGAGAGGGGACATAGGCACAATTTCCAATACACGCTTGGCACTTGGCAGTTATTTCATTACCAACTGCCATTTTATGCTTACGTCATCCACTTCGTCCAATTCAATAAACATGAGTGCACTCTTATTACCATTTTACTCGTAAAAATAACACATATCATAAATCACATATGGCAATTGGTTTGGATTAAGTCGGGTATTTAATCAATTTAATTCGACTCGAAAATATATATATCATTAATTTCAATTTGATTTAAATATATATATATATATATATTATTTGATATATTTTGACTCGAAAAACATATTCCCTTTACTTAAACTTAATTCAACTCGAAATTTTAAAGTATAAATTTGATCTAACTTAACCTGACATAAAATAAAAATTTAATTAAAAAAACTATAGAGAGAGTAGTATTATAACAATTATCTATAAATTTCTATGAAAAATTTATACTATTATCTTTGGGTCGGATTGGAGGTTTTTTACTCTTCACTATTTAATAGTTTAGTGACAAAATCGATGCACCCTAAAAGTTTAGTGTTTAATATGACATCATTTTAAGCATTAGAATAACCACACGTCGTTTTGGTGTGGCATGCTACTTCTGCAACCGTTAGCCATGCCATTGTTCCATTAGTGACTTAACGGCGAAGTGACAAAATTGAATGTAAAACTAAAGTTCAATGCTATAATTAGTAAAATTAAAACTTTAGTGGTATAAACGAGTCAGTGTGCAAAATTCAGTGGTATCAGGTGTAGTTTACCCTATATTTTATATAAAATAAATATGATACTTATGAAAATTATTTGAAAATATAAGTTTGATATACTAATTATATTAATTATATGTTGTTAGGATTGATGAAGCTCAATCGAACAACCGAATAATTGCCAAGAGGGGGTGAATTGGCTAATTGAAAAAAATTGGGTATGGAGGAGAAAGGATATGAAAATTTGCACAATGATTTATACTAGTTCGACTTCTAAACCAAGTCTATCTCTACTACATTAGCTCCACACCAAGGATTTTCTAACAAATCCACTAATTTGTTCTTTTTTTTTCTAGGCTCAAGAGTAACCTTTACAAAACCCTTAGTTTTTCAATGGCTAAACAAAAACCAGTCCCTTTTTACAATGTTAAAAGAAGTAAAAAAGAAAATCTCTCAAAGGTACGGTGTTTACAAGATTTAAGCTTACAAGAAAACAATTAAAATATTTCCATTGAGCTCAAACACATATGTACAAGAGAAAAGGAAAAAATAAAGAGTGAAAGAACTTTTCTCTTGATCTCTATTGCTTGGATATGTTTTGTCTTCTTCTTCAAGTGTCTTCAACTTGTTTTTATATGTTTGAATAAGTTTGTGGTTGTTTCTAGCCGTTGGGGATTATTTTCTGCAAAATAAAACTGCCCAGAATAGGAGAATACAGAGAAGATTTCGTAGGAAATTAAAAGCAGCTGCCTCTCTTAATTTATTTCTTCAGTTGTTTTACAAGGCTCAACGACAGGAGTAAGTAGAATCCTGAAATTATATTGCATATAAAATAAGGTTTTTTTTCTTATTTTTCTATCCAAATTATAATTATTTGTTTGCCTTTTGTTTGGATCATGCAGTACTTGCCATGGAATCTGATTTATTTATTTACTTGTAAGCTTGCGAAGCTATTAGGCTGAATTCATATTTTCTCCCTCTTTTGTTCTTTGGGACGAGATCTCAACCTTATCTTTCCACTTCTCGGTTGGATCTAGTTCTTTCATCGTTGTTAATTTCGAATTCCTTAAAAATTGAAATTTAATATTTTAAGCGATCGATTGGTGTTGTTAATTTGAGTATATTTGGATCGTTAATTATTTTGGTAGGGAACACGAAATGTTGAATGCTTGCTTCTGGAGATTTTAGATTGAATAGTAGGAAAAGCTGAAAAAGATGTGATTTTTGTTTTGTTATACATAATTTGTCGAATAACAAACTTCTGATAAGATTCTTCTGGCCATTTCTAACTTGTATAGATTAGAAGAGTTGTTGTTGAGTGCTAAAATAACTTTAGCAATGTAAACTAGAACTTGAAACAATGTTTAGAGGACTTAACTATGCTGAGTTATTTGTATTTGACTCACTGGGCTCGATCTTTTGGCTAATTCCCTTTTAATGCTGGAGTTGTATCTATTTAATTTGGGTCTCTTATTTACCAATGCATATGCATTTCTGATGTTTGGTGAAACACCCTTTTCCTGGGATCAATGGTTATGATGATAATTAATTAATCAATGTTTCTATTTTTTATATTCTTTTCTTTTGGTGTATGGGGATAAAGAAGTGCTATGAATTTATTTCATTTTCTAAGTTAATAGGATGAACCTTTGCTTATGCTTTTGGATTGAATTTTTTCACCTTTTAATACTAAATTCTACTCCTGGAAATTTACCGAGAAATATTAAGATATTCTCAAGATCGCACAGAAGAATGAAATAAATTTCAGTACTGATTCTAGCCTCTCTAACTATAATTTACTTGTTTAGACTTCTCCTGCGATTGGACCTGAGCATGAACTATATTTTCTATTGGAACTTCTGCAAGTTTGATCTGGTTTTGAACTGTATAATTAGGCCATTTTGAATCGTTCACCAATCAATTAAGTTCTTTAAAGTTTTTCATCTTTAGAATCATTTATGCTAACATCAAAGGGCATATTTTTATGTGTTGTTGCCTGCTTAATTTTTCATGATGTTTTTATCTTTGTTGTTGACTCCAACATCTGTATGGATTTGTTACAACGATATGGTGCGAGTGTAAGAAATAAGAGTCCCCATCCTTTAGCTGATGATGAAGACGATGACGACTTATTTGAAGACCGATTTAGTATTGCATATAATCTTGACCGAGAATTTGGGTAAGTAAATGCTTTGCAAGGTTAAATTGTTACATTTGTCCAGTTATCTGATACTGTTCATACACATGATAATATAATCCTAACATGTAGGCCTTTCTACGTATAACAGTCCAAGGCTTAAGGAGCACATGCAATATTGCATGAACCATCTAGAAGAAATTAGTAAGCTCTCAAAATTAAAAGCTCAAGTAACTGAGGTGAAGGGGATTATGATGGATAACATTGAAAAGGTATGTATTTATTTTCTTGAGAAGTGGTACAAGTTTGGAAAAAGTGGATGTATTATTTTGAATGTAGAGATTAAGTATTTTGTAACAATCTTCATTTCCAGTGGCTGGTATACAAATTTATTTGGTTACTACCATTGAACTTACCTATAAATATTTAACTTGTTATGTCGTTTGTTTTCTCAGCATTCATGTACTGTTGTTATTAGTATTCAAATTACCATTAGGTTCCATATTTCATACGGATCATAAGAATTTCAAAATTTCAGGGGTGGTAACTATAGGTGACAATCGGAAGAAGAAAGCCCCCTTCCCATTAACAATAAATCCCCAATATAAGAAAAAAAAAAGGAAGAAAATGTCTTATGTTGCAGGCTAACATTAACATTTCTGGATTTGAGGCTTTATGATGAGCTTCTTGATTATCAGGAAATAGTCATCGGCTTTTGTTACTTAAACCCTAGATCTTTAATCCCCTAAAACTTTGGTCTAAAATTTAGTTTGAAGATGTTATTTCAATACTTGTATCCCTCATCTATCATCAGTAATAATGACCATATCATCCATGTGTAAATCAATAGAACTATCTCCTTTTATTTTCCAATAGATAACTTCATGGCACCTCTAAAACGATGCCCTAGGAGATTGTTTTAACATATGTGAAGTCTTCTTCAAATAACACACTAGCTCTAACTCCCCCTGAGTAATGGATTTAATTGGTTTCTCATGACATTCGTCCTCAAAGTTGCCATGAGATTTTTAACGTCTAACTGAAATAAAAGCCCATAAAAAAGTAGTTGCCAATGTGACAATAAAGGAGCAGAGGTAGGTCTCTAGTTGAGGTAGTAACTTACAGGTATAAAGTTTGGTTTATATGGTAAATCTGGTGGTACGTCTTGGTCAACTGTTACGAATATCTGACTAGATTGTGACGAGTCTTTGAATATAGTAGTGTTTGGTTGATGATCAGATTTTCTTGGTGATGTTCTTAGCCATCAAATTTCACCCATATGTGCTGAGTGATGACTTTGTATGTAATAAAGAATATTTCTAGATTGTTTTGGTGCATTAATGCCTTTTTGGTTATGCAATGTTTCTCCTTAGCTCTAGGTGCTTCAATTTTAGGGGATTTGATTCTGATTTTTATTTCCTATTATTTTTCTTATTGGTTTAAATAAACTTTACTTATGAATTAGGATACTTGCCTGATATTTTGCTTTCCTTGTTAATTTATGAAAATAGGGTTTTTTTTCATAATTTGTAAGCCTTCTATATAAGAGGTAAATTATTATTGAATATAATAAGAGACAAATTTTGTTGAATTTTCCATCAGCTAAAGATTTTCTTTATTTTTAATGCTAATGGTATGGATTGTTGAAGGTTGAATCTTATATTTTGTTTGTTTACTGAAAAAAGAGAAGAAAACTGGTTACCATCAAATGTCATCACTAGTTTCTAAAGAAATTTACATTGTGATTTTATAGTTATTGCCATATGAGATGCAAAAGCCATCTTGCTCTAGCATTGACTTCTGCAGAAAACATATATGAATGAGTTTTCCCATGCATTAGTTTAGTAACGTACAGTATGGTCACAGTCCAAACTGATTATAATACCAAACCAAATATCTACTTGTGCCTTTAGATGCTTTGGAGTTTTTTGGCCGCCAGTAGTGCACATGCCTATACATAGATATAGTTTAATGGATTTACTTTAACAAGACCTAAAACTTTTCATTCCAAAAGTTCATATTTCAAAGTTTGGGACCATGTCTGAAATGAATGTTTTCCCATGGCGTAACATCTAGTGTTCGGTTCACTAATTCTGTTTCTGATCAGGTTTTGGATCGTGGGGAGAATATTGAACTTCTAGTGGACAAAACAGAAAACTTGCAATTCTAGGTTGGTGTTATCTTCTCTTTTGTGGTTTAGTTTAGGGTCTGGGTAAGTATCATACTATATATATGGTTTTGTAATAATATCGCAGGCTGATAGCTTCCAGAGGAAAGAGCAGCAACTGCGACGAAGGATGTGACTGAAGAATCTGCAAAAGAAACTGATGGTAGAAGGAGCTGTAGTTGTGTTGATCATCATTTTGTGGCTTTTTGGGTGTGGGGGTTTCAAATGTTGACTTTGATAAGCCAAAGTTAAGAACCATTACAATATTTTTGATAACCTAATGGGAATATATTTTATGCAAATTGATTGCTTATATATGATATGATATATGTATTTAGTATTATGATGCATTAAATGTGATTTAGTTTGATTATTTGTCAATCTACAATATATATATATATATATATATATATAATTTATAAAATACAATCACGGCACAAGAATGTGTGTCATCTCTTTTAATGACGTGTGTTTTAATGACACACAATGTAAGTCATACATGCATGTCATACATTTATGACACACAAATGTGTGTCATCTTCAATTATGACGGGGGCTTCAATGATGCGCAATGAGTGTCATAAATGCACGTCATAAATGTGCGTCATAAATGTGTGTCATAAATGCACGTCATAGATTTAAGACTCACAATTGCGCGTCATCTGATATTTATGTCGGTGGCTTCAACGACAGGCATTTGTGTGTCATCTGCACCCATAGATTATACACAATGCACGTCATTAAAGGGGTTTTTTCTAGTAGTGGAAACTACTTCATAGACATCGGGACCAAATGCACAAAACACCATGTGCATGTTCTTAGCATTTTGTTGAGCTTTCTTCCATTCTTTGGCACTCCACTCATTTGTCTTCTTCTTTGGAGAAGAGTAGTTGTTCTCAATCATCTCCCATGCATTAAGATCATTGGATTGGATGAATAACTTCATTAATTTCTTCCAATGATGGTAGTTGGCTCCATTGAAGTATGGAGGTTTGTCGATCGGTTGGGAGTCTTCCATGTAGAACGAGCCAGAGGTTGAAGCCATCTTTTCGATTACATCGAAAATTGGTAGAAATTCTTCAAGGTTCGTCTCAAGGTTGTTAAACCTTCTAATGAGTCAATCTCTGATACCAATTGTTAGGATTGATGAAGCTTAATTAAATAATCACATAATTGCCAAAGGGGGCTGAATTGACCAATTGAAAATTTTTGGGTATGGATGAGAAATGATAAGAAAATTTTCACAATGATTTATAGTGATTCGACTTCTAAACCAAGTCTACCTTCATTACCTTAGCTCCAAACTAAGGATTTTCTAACAAATTCACTAATTTGTTCTTTCTTTTTCTAGGCTCAAGAGTAACCCTAATAAAACCCTTAGTTTTTCAATGGCTAAACTAAAATCACTCCCTTTTTACAAGGTTAAATGAAGTAAACAAATAAAACCTCTCAAAGGTAGGGTGTTTACAAGATTTAAGCTCACAATAGAACAATTAAAAGATTTGCAATGAGCTCAAACACATATGTACAAGAGAAAACGAAAAAATAAAGAATGAAAGAACTTTTCTCTTGATCTCTATTGCTTGGATAGGTGTTATCTGCTTCTTCAAGTGTCCGTAACTTGTCTTTATATGTTGGAATGAGTTTGTGGTCATTTCTAGCCGCTGGGAATTAATTTTTTGTAAAACAAAACTATCCAGAATAGGGAGTATCGGTACTCCTTTAATGAGTATCTATACTACCTTTGTAATATTTAAATAAACTATCCGTTGAGGACCGTTGGGCTTAGTCAGTATCGATACTATGCTTCATGGTATTGATACCACTGTGTAAAGTAACATCGATACCTTGAGTATTGGTACCTATTTTGTATTCTGGAATTTGAGCAATTTGGAAAACAACTAGTAGTATCGATACTACCTTGAGAGTATATATACTTCTCTTCCCTTTGGTATCAGTACCACATGAACAATATTGGTATTGTTCATGTAGTATCGATACTGTAAGAACAATATCGGTACTACGTACCCAGAAAACTATTTTGTGCTCAAATTTTTATTTTAATGGACTTTGAATTATTTTTGAAAACTTTGAACAAATTCAATCAAGTCCAAAAAATATTTTGCATTATTTTGTTGTATCAAAATATTATAAAACATGGTTCAACATATATTAAATGTATTTTTCTCAAAAGTAGTATAACGATTAAAATATTTTTATGAATTCTTATTCAAATATTTATTATTTAATATTAAAAGTTAACTTGTTACAAAAAACATGTATCACAAGGGTAATTTGGTAAAATATACATCCAAATAATCTTATATTCCTCTAACCCAATATTGTAATCTTACATTCATACTAAACAAACCAAACAAGATAATACAATATTCCTAAAGTAATGTTACATTCCAGTAATCTTATTTCCAAAAGTAATCTTACATTCGTGAACCAAACGCCAGATTTCAATATATAATTTGTCGAAATAAGATATTTTTAGGGTAAAGTACACAAATGGTCCCCGACTACAAGACGATGCTTTGTTGTCCTCAACTATTAAAAAGTTACAAAGTGGGTGTAACACCCCTAACCTATACCTGACCCGAATACGAATTCGAGGTGTCACATTGATTTTTCAAAACTTTGACTTATTAAAAACTTTAAACTTTTTATTTAGATTCAAGTGGTGAAGCCCTTAATTCAAATTTACTATTGAAAATTTAAACTCACAATAAAAGTAAATACTTAATAATTTACATAAATATAAAAGTAGTATGATTACAAAAAATGGACCAGAGCATTTCAATTTAAACATTTCGATACATGCCAACAGTTTACATGATAATAAGAAAACATACATTCAAATTGTTCTAATCTGATCCTCGGCAGAAGTATGATGTCCTCTCTTAGCTTTAGTTCTCAGATCCCTTTGAACCTACGTGTGAAACAATCACATGCTAAGTCGATGACTTAGTGAGGTAAATACGAGTATAAAGCCATAAAGTCTTTACTTAACACTTTCAAGAAGCGCTAATCAAGGAAATCCATATAATTTTCACACACATTATATTTTTGTACAACGTTCAGTTATATACTTTTGTTTATAGAGCCCAATGCATATTATTGAAAACTAAGGGTATTTGAGTACATTGAGGTTGTGCACTAATGCAGTCACCGCTGCTCATATAAATTATACCAAAGTACCACGTAGTATTTGTCCCAAAGGACCGCGTAGAATTTGTCCCGAAGGACCACATAAAAATATCCCAAAAGACCACATAGATTAGTCCCGAAGGACTGCGTAGAACCCTCGACTCTTGGCATGCCAACTATACCTCTAATTCTCATACATATACCTTGAGCTTTAACTTTATAATTATTTTTCGTTTCACTATTTAAAGTGTGTCTTATTCACATAGAGTAAATTCACATAGGCACTTTCACATATAACATTTTTGGTAAGCATAATTCCACATATAATAATGTCATATAAAACATAATCATATACATAAGAATCAAAACCGTGCTTTGAAAAATACACTTGATATAAACATAATAAAATATTGTATAAAATAAATAAGCAGTTTTTGATAAAAAAAACTTCGAGGTTGACTTGTCGCAAGCCGTCCTCAAATCCAATATAAAACAATTTAGTTGTGCTCACCTTTGCCTCATGTAAGCCTAAAAAAATCCATTTTCTTTTTGATCAATCTCGTACTATATCAATTCCTTCAATATAGTTTCAATCCAAATCTACACATAGACATATCCCATATCAATACCAACTTTCCATTAACATATAACCAATTAGCATTTACATGAACAAAACTAAAACTCTTACTTTAAATTTCAGACTCATTAGTATCGGTACCCCTTCTACAGTACCGATATTTCTCTTTTATCATACCGATACCCCCTTCTTTATCGATATCATTTTGGCATTCTGGAATTTCAAACTTAATAATAGTATAAATACCTTACTCTTGGTATCGAATTCAAACTATTTTTTTCAATTTAACCCTATAGTATCGGTATTGTTCTTCCAGTACTGATAACCTTATCCAGATTTCACCTCTCTCACTTCGAATTTTACACATTCTTCACCAAAATCTTAAACTCTATGCTTCCTTAATAACCTTAAACTCATTAACACTTATCCTATCTATCTTACCTCCATAAATCCCTTTGAAACATCGTAATTTCTTCATATAACACTTCAAACTAAAAATCACCCCAAATATTCAAACATATTTTCAATCACTTCTAAAACTTCAAACGCCTTAATTAGATCTCTGACAAGTAAAATATATATTCAGAATCCAATTACTAACCAGATTTTCTAAATGTATTTTAAAACCCCTTTTTTCTAATTCATCATAATTTCTCAATCTCTTAGTTTCTTTAAGCTTTCCTTAAGCTTTAATATCACCCAAGAACCAAAAACCAACTTAAAATGAAAGAAACAATTAACTTGAAACATAACTCACCTTAAAATGGAGTCACAGTGGCAAAGAAAGAGAAGAAGAGAATAGGAACAAGCTTCCAGAAATCTCCCCCATTTTCTTATCCTCACATGCTTTAATTTCTTTAAAAATATGAGTTTTAAATTCATTCCTTACAAAAAGACCATAATGTCCTTCCAATATTCCATCTTTACTAATAAGTCCTATACATAAATTCCTAAATTAATCCTTAAACTTATCACTTTATTCAAATTAAACCATCAAACTTTACATTCCTATACTTTAGTCACTAACCCAATATTTGGGGTATTACAATTCTCTCCCTTAAGAAATAAACTTATCACTTTATTCAAATTAAACCATCAAACTTTACATTCCTATACTTTAGTCACTAACCCAATATTTGGGGTATTACAATTCTCTCCCTTAAGAAAATTCATCCTCAAATTTTCATTGTACAAAAAGATGAAGAAATTGTCTTCTCATATCATCTTCACGTTCCCATGTCGCTTCTTCTACTTTATGGTTTCTCCATAGAACTTTAACCAAGGGGATCGTCT